GCTAATTTTTGTATTTTTAGTAGAGACAGGGTTTCACCATGTTAGCCAGGCTGGCCTTGAACTCCTGACCTCAGGTGATCCACCCAAAGTGCTGAGATACAGGCGTGAGCCACCACGCCTGGCCATAACTTGCTTTAAAGAAAAAAAAATTTTTTTTTTAAGAGATGGGGTATCACTATGTTGACCAGGCTAGCCTTGAACTCCTGACCTCAGGTGATCTACCCACCTAGGCCTCCCAAAGTGCTGAGATTACAGGCGTGAGCCACCACGCCTGGCCATAACTTGCTATTTAAAGAAAAAAAATTTTTTTAAAGAGATGGAGTATCACTATGTTGACCAGGCTGGTCTTGAACTCCTGGCCTCAAGTGATCCTCCCATCTCAGCCTCCCAAAGGGCTAGGATTACAAGCAAGAGCCACTGCACCCGGCCCTAACTTGTTTTTAACAAAGAGAGCACAGCAAAAGTGATGGGATGTGACTTCTGTGATGAGGTTGCAAAAGAGTGTGACTTCTGTTTTACTAGCATTCTCTTCCTGACAGTCACTCTTCCTCTCTGTATTAGTCCAGTCTCTCATTGCTATAAAAAAATACCTGGGACTGGCAAATTTATAAAGAAAAGAGGCCTAATTGGCTCATGGCTCTGCACGGTTCTACAGGAAGCATGATGCTGGCATGTGCTTGGTTTCTGGGGAAGCCTCCAGAAACTTACAATCATGGTGAGAGGTGAAGGGAGAGCAGGTACTTTACATGGCATAAGCGAGAGCAAGAGAGCGAGCGGAGATGCAGGTGCTACACACTTTTAAACAACCTCGCCAGAACTCACTATCACGAGAACAGCACCACTGTTTAGCACATGGTGCTAAACCACTCATGAGAAATCTACCCTGATGATCCAATCACCCCCTACCAGGACCTGCCTCCAACACGGGGCATTACAATTTGACACAAGATTTGAGCAGGGATACAGATCTAAGCCATATCGCTCCCCTACTTGTTCATTCCAGTGAAGCATGCTGCCACATTGTGAGATGCTCTATGGAGAAGCCTCTGGACAACAGCTTATGAGGAATTGAGGCCTCAATCTAATAGCCTGAGAAAAACTAAATCCAGCCAATAACCACGAGTGAACTAGGAAGTGAATCTCTGAGATGACTGCAGCCTTGTGAGAAACACAGCATCAGAGGACCCAGCTAAGCTGCACCGATTCCTGACCCACAAAAACTGAGATAGTAAGTGGTGTTTCATTTTTTTTTTTTTTTTTTGAGACGGAGTCTCACTCTGTCACCAGGATGGAGTGCAGTAGTGCAGTCTCAGCTCGCTGCAACCTCTGCCTCCTGGGCTCAAGTGATTCTCGTGCCTCAGCCTCCAGAATCAGCTACTTGGGACTACGGGCGCATGCCACCATGCCTGACTAATTTATGGGGTTTCACCACGTTGGCCAGACTGGTCTTGAACTCCTGGCCTCAAATGATCTGCCTGCATCGCTCTACCAAAGTACTGGGGTAACAGGCGTGAGCCACTGTGCCCAGCCAGTAAGTGGGTGTTTCAGTCCACCAAGTTTTGGGGTAATTTGTTACACAGGAATAGCTAACACAACCACAGGAAATACCTCATCTGTATAAAGCTTTCAGTATTCCTCCCTTGCCTCCTCTGGATCTTCAGCCTGTGTGCACAGTCGACAACCAAGAAAGTCCAGTGCTTTTCATGTTTGACCAGATAACTGATTGTCAAATCGGTGTCTAGTTAGACCTTTGGTATCTAAAACTGTATTGATGGAGTCCACTGAATTTGATTCCTAAACCATCACTGAACAATCTTTCTGTGTCAGCTAAGAGCAACATAGCTTGGTTTTCTTGCCCTGACCAGTGGTGATGATCTCTACTGTCCTGTGCTGGAAGACACCTACAGAGGAATAGGTGGTACCAAGATGAGTGACAACTGCAGATACCTTTGATGTGGTTTTGCAAGGGGCAGTGTCTAGCTTAGAGGAAAAAAGTGTAGACACTAAAGTGGAACATAGCATTCAATAAGTCATGGTAGGGTTTTGAAATTATAAATCATGTATTTTTTATTTTTATTTTTTGAGACAGGGTCTTCCTCTGTCACCTAGACTGGGATGTAGTGGCATGATCATGGCTCACTGCAGCCTCAAACTCCTGCGCTAAAGCAATACTCCTGCCTCAGCCTCCCAGGGTAGCTGGGACTACAGGCACATGCCATTATACCTGGCTAATTTTTAAAAAAACCGTTTAGTAGAAATGAGGTCTCACTGTGTTTCCCAGGCTAATCCTTTATTTTTGATGTGATACAAAGTGAATATGGGGATTGGTAGGAAATATGATTGAAAAAGGGATACAATAGGAAGGACCTTGTATATGAAGCCAGAACACTTGAGGCAATGAGGGAAACTGGAGGTATTAAAATTAGTTGGAGGGAATAAGAAAAGACAATCAGTAGACGCTAACATCAAGAGGTATCTGAGGTTAGGTATTATCAGATGATGTTAGAGCAACCATCATAAAAATGATTCAATAAGCAATTCTGAACACATTTGAAACAAATGAAAAAGCAGGAAGTCTCTGCAAAGAAACAGAAGATACAAAGACAAAAACATGGAAATTTTAGAACTGAAAAATACAATAAATGAAATAAAAAACTCAATGATGGGCAGCAGAATGAATGTAACAGAGGAAGGAATCAATGAACTAGAAGATGAAACAAAGGAAATTACCCAGTCTTAACAGAGACAAAATATACTGGAAAAGAAGTGAACAGAGCCTCAAAGACTTTGTGAAATGATAAAAGATAAAATGCACATGTCATAGAATTATGAAAGATTTCCTATCAGAAACCATGGAGGTCAGAAGAAAGTGGCATGGCATTTTTCACGTGCTGAAAGAAAACTGTCCACCCAGAATCCTATTTCTAGGAAATATCCTTCAGGAATGAAGAGAAAATTAATATACTCTCAGATGAAGACAAACTAAGAAAATCTGTCTCACTAGACTTACCTTAAAAGGATGGCTAAACAAAGTTCTTGGAGAAAACAAAACAAAACAAAACAAAAAACAGTAAGAGAAATCTTAGAATATCAGAAGGAAAAAAGAACAGAAAGGATAAAAACATGGGTACATACAATAGACTTTACTTTTCTTAGTTTTCTAAATTATGTTTGATGGTTGAAGCAAAAATTGTAACATTATCTGATGAAGTTTCCTATGTCTGCAGAAGAATAGTTAAGAAAATTATAAATAGGGAAGGGTAAAGGAATATAGAAGAAATAAGGATTCTTTTTTTTTTTTCTGCATCCAATCACCCATCAGGGAAATAGAGTCTATACTTCATTTAATCTGCAAGATGTTGAAATCAGTAGATTGTAATAAGTTATATACATATGATGTAATAACCAGAGCAACTACTAAATATCTATGCAAAGAGATATACTAAAAAATAACATCAAAATGAAATACCAGAAAATGTTTCAGGAACCACAGGAAGACAGGAACTTTGATACAAGCAACAATTTGGAAGGATCCAAGTTGAGGGCATTATGCTCCATGAAAAAAGCCAGTTAAAAAGTCACATGCTGTATGACTCTATATAACATCCTCAAAATGACAAAATTATGGAGATGGAGATTACTCACTGCCAGGGGTTAGGGACAGTCTGGGTAAGGGGAGGGTAGTGTGACTATACAGGGTAGCATGAGGAAGAACTGTGTGGTGATAAAATAGCTTTGTGTCTTTTTGTTTTGCTTTTTTGAGATGGAGTCTCGCTGCAACACCCAGGCTGGAGCACAATGGCATGATCTCAGCTCACTGCAACCTCCACTTCCTGGGTTCAAGCAATTCTGCTGCCTCAGCCTCCCGAGTAGCTGGGACTACAGGCATGCACCACCACACCCAGCTAATTTCTGTATTTTTAGTAGAGACAGGGTTTTACCATATTGGCCAGGCTGGTCTCGAACTCTTGGCCTCAAGTGATCTGCCCACCTCTGGCCTCTCAAAGTGCTGGGGTTACAGGTGTGAGCCACTGCACCTGGCACAGTTGTGTCTTGATCGTGTGGTTGCATGGATCTATAGATGTGGCGAAATGTCACAGAACTATGTGTACACATTATACTAATGTCAATTTTCTGTTTTCTATGCTCTTTCCACATGTGGTCTACCTCCATCACTACAGCTTTTTTTTTTTTTTTTGATGCAGTCTCACTCTGTCACCCAGGCTGGAGTGCAGTGGCTCAATCTCAGCTCACTGCAACCTCCGCCTCCTGGGTTCAAGTGATTCTCTGGCCTCAGCTTCTTGAGTAGCTGGGACTACAGGTGCGTGCCACCATGCCTGGCTAATTTTTGTATTTTGAGTAGAGACAGGGTTTCGCCATGTTGGCCAGGCTGGTCTCAAACTCCCGACCTCAGGTGATCCACCCACCTTGGCCTCCCAAAGTGCTGGGATTTCTTGATACACGTCTCTCTTCTCGACTTTGCTTCTGCGCTTCTAAATGCCTACATGATGGAGCTAATTGGATATCTTGTTGCTACTCTAATCTGAGCATCTCCTCTCTGACCTCTCATTGTTTTTCCACCTTTCTACTTGTCACCTCCAGGCAAACATCAGTCATCCTTTATTCTTCCTTCTCCATGGTCTGCCATTACCTATCACTTGTCTTATATGATTCTTCCTTAAATTTATTTCTATTCTCACTGTCACCATGACAGATCAGGGGCAGTCAGGAACTCTTGCTTGATACTTGACAAGAACTTCCTGATGGACCATTAGGCTTCCAAACTCTCATCTTATTCACCAACCTTATCTAGTCTGTAGAGCTAATATCAGAAGATTCTTTGACACAAAAAATTGAAAAGTGACTGTATAGAGGACAAGAAGGGGAAATATAAAGAGATTTGAATGGAAGTCAAACGATATTTCTCTGCAAGCAGTTAAACATTCAATTTACAGGCAACAACGTGTCCTTTTCTCTCATTAAAAGTGCAAAATACATACCTTAACTCTTCGGGCAATGCTAAGGAATTGACATGTTTTATCATAAAGTCCTTCCAGGTTTTCTCTGTCCCAGTAGAAATCAGGAGTAATCAAGAAGTCTGAACTCAAGTTTATACGGTGCCTTTAAAAAAGGGAAAATTATAACTTTTTATTTATCTTGAATTAAAAATCATTGTTTCTATTATATTTAATATTTACATGGTGCTTTATGAAAACTTTTTTTTTTTTTTCTTTTTAAGAGAGAGGGTCTCGCTATGTTACCCAGGATGGAGTGCAGTGGTGATCACAACTCACTGCAACCTGAACTCCTGAGCTCAAGCTGTCTCCTGCCTACCATGTAGCTGGAACTACAGGCATGTGGCATTGCATCTGGCTGAAAACACGTGTTAACACTGACCTTTGCAAAATATTTCCAACAAATGTGTAAATAACATTTACAAACGGGTTTCGAAATTCTGAACCAAATTAATTCAATCTTTAATACCAACGTTATTTATGAAGTAGACAGAAAAAAACTCATTTTGTTTTCAATTTTTATTTTTATTTTATTTATTTTATTTTATTTTATTTTTTTGAGACAGAGTCTCGCTCTGTCGCCCAGGCTGGAGTGCAGTGGCCGGATCTCAGCTCACTGCAAGCTCCGCCTCCCGGGTTTCCGCCATTCTCCTGCCTCAGCCTCCCGAGTAGCTGGGACTACAGGTGCCCGCCACCTCGCCCAGCTAGTTTTTTTG